CTGTTTATCCAAGCAGGGAGGGCGTGTGTGTGTGTGTGTGTGTGTGTGTGTGTGTGTGTGCGCGTGCGCGCGCGCACACACAGGCACACATGTACACATAACCATTTATAATGTGATCTCAATAGACTTCCCTCAGAGGGAAGATGACAAAAACTGTTTAAATCGTTACATATGGGGGGAAGAAACAGGGTGCAGGAAACAAGAACAGAAGCTAGACTTCTCTTAATATACCTAGTTTCATCGATTTGACTTTGGAACCATGTAAATATTATGCAAAATTATAAAAGAAAATTAATCATTAAAAAGGTAATCCATAAACATTTAAAGCAAAATAAAATAAATAAATCTGAGTATCAAGTTGGTGGCATAGCCTACACAAAAAGGGATTATTCCAAGTGATTTCAAAGCAGCAATTCACTATATGTCTCTAGTGGGATACATAAAAGACAAAAAGAACAACAAAAAAAGCTTCAATAGCTTTTCCGTAATCAGACTGTGGGTGGTATTGTTGGTATTTCTATTCTGAAACTGTTGTGTGTGCAATGTGGGATACAGAAAACAGAGTCCCACTCACCTTCCCAGGGCCCCCTGATCTCAGCCTGCACACCTCTGGTGCTCAGCGCATGCTTTGGTTTTGCTCCCTTCTCTTCCACTCGCTCTTTGTTCTAAAATAACAACCACAAAAACTATCATCATTATCATCAACATCATCACTCAGGCCGCAAACATTTGTTAAGCAACTATTGTGTGCTTAAGATAAATGTACTTAGATTATTTCACAAAGTCTAACAGTAATATTATCACTTTAGCGATAAGAACATTGAGGCCTTCCCAAGGTCATTAAACTTAAAAGAGGAATCCAATTCAAACCCAGAACCCAAGTCCTTTCCAATGCTTCACCGTATTTCCAGTGAGGGGCCGATCCAGCCCCTTATGGGGACGGGGGTCTAAACAGACTGGATCTCAAAGGACTTAGACCAGGGATGGAGAATAAACTTAATCTTAAAATGTCAACTCATATCAATTGGTCATGGCTATACAGTGCTGGTTTAGGTTGGATTCTGAAGTCTAATAAATCCATGCTTGGGGGAAAGAGTGCTACCATCAATGAATGATGGAGCTGGGAGCTGGGCAGGCACACCCCACGACTACCCCTTTAC